AGGTCAGGGAAAACCAGGACAATATGTTTAAAATAATGCTTAAAAACTTTTGGCACAACGCATACAAAAGACATGAACCAACAAGAACGCAAGCAACACAAACACTGAAAAACCAACGCGACGCAATGGCGTCAGCCTTTACTACAATGCTTGACAACAACAAACCACCAGAACCACCGCCAAAGAAACCACCAGACGAGGAGGACAGCGATGAAGAAGAAAAAAGATTCAAACTGACAAAAATGATAGAAATAATGCTACACAACGGCGCTACAGTAGCAGATATAATATTAAACTTATCACATAGCGCAATTGCAACAACAATAAATATCGCAGATTTAGTCAATCAAATAACAGCAGGAAATGCACAAGGTAGCAGTAGTTCTTCTAATGAAATTGTTAGTGTTCATAGTTCTCCACCTATTACTGTTCATAGTTCTTCATCTGAAAGTCCAACAGAAATACCAGCACCAACTGAAGACGAAGAAGAAGAAGACGGAGAAGAAAAACAAAAATATAATTTTGAAAAATTAAAATCTAAATAATATTATATATAATGGGTTCAAGTAAATCAAAACCAGTAGAAATTGATGATGAAGAGGCTATTAAAGTAATAAAAGATATAGATGTAAATACGATAAGTGAAATGTCAAGAATTGATATTCTACAAATAAATTCATTGAAAGCAATAATAAATAAATTAGAAAAAGTTAATGAATGTAAAAAAGATAAAACATATTATAAATTTCCTGCCTTAAATTTATGTAGCTATTCCTTATTCTAAATTGATAATATTAACATACATTAATATTATTAATTACTATCATAATCTGTCATTTCATCTTCTGGTAATTTTGTCGAGGCATTGCTACACATATCATCTATTAAATCTTCTTCATCAACAAAGTTATTTTGAAATCTTAATAATTCCTCGTCTGTTGGTCGTCTTTTTAACACTTTATAAAGTTTATGTATCCAAGAATTAGTATGAAAATTGTAATTACCTCTACGATAAAATCCACCACATCTACATAGTTTCATTAGCATATTATTATATTATATTAAATGAGAATTTCTTTATTCATCATTTGTAATTTGAAATGCCTGTTCAAAATTGATATGAAACATTTTGTTAATGTCTTTTGAATTCATATTCACGTAGAAAAAAGAATATGGAGCAAAATTAACGGCTTGATGATACATATCTAATAATTGCTGTTTGTCAACAATGGCGCTATTTTCTTCAATAAAACTCATTAATTCACTGGCATTTTTCAACCTAAAAATATATAATGAACTGGCATTTAAACGAATGATAGGCGCCAACACATTATATTTCTGTGTTGAACAAATTACGCTTACTGCATCGTGCCTACCTCTTGTAAATAATCCATGTAATAATTTACTATATCTAACAAATTTAGGATCGTCGGCATGATCGTCTATAACGATTAATATTGAATGTAGTTTCTTTATTTTTTTAGATTTCATAAAATTAATTATTTTCTTCTGTCTTTCGATTACATTTTCTAAATCACTTGGATTATAATTATCAAAATAGATTTGTTCTTTTTCATCATCTACATGTAGTTCATCCCTAATATATTTCTTTACTTCTGTAAAAGTTGGGTCATTATGAACGCTGGGGGAAAATATAAATATTCTTGCAAATGAATTTCTATAAACATTTAAGATAAGGTTCTGAACCAATACTGTTTTGCCACCTGTCGAAGAAGCAACTATAATACTTCTAAATGGTAATTTTGGCACGTGCTCATATTTAGATTGTTTGAATTCATATTCAGTTATGTTTATTGGCTTTATTATTGGAACATCTGACATAATAAAATAATATTAAAGTTATTTAGAAAATATTTTATATTTATTATTTTATATGAATAGAAGCTATTCAGATTATATTGATATAATAGATGAAGTAGAGAATATAGAACAAGTTGTTATAACTGATAATAGATTTAAAAAAATATGTTATTTTGTTTTAGAATTAATTAAGTTTGTGATACAATATATCAAAAATAAAAATGTAAATATTAATATAAATGGGAAGAAAGAAAAACAAAAAGAATAAAACAGAAACAACAATTTCATCAGCAGACGACGACAGTGAAGAAGTTATTAATAAAACAGCAGTTGTTGAGTTTGCTTGTCCTATGTGTAAGAAGATGTTAGAGATGAAGAACGAATTAGAAATATCAAAGAAAGGGAACTGCAAATGCAGTTGTATTCCAGCCAGTTTCAAACTAAGTAAGAATGATAAGAAAATTAATATTGATAAAACTAAAGACAGTATAAACTTAGAAACAGATGTTCATAATATTGCTATCAAATGGGGAAGGCATGCATCGCCATCCGATAATGGTGATAAGGAAACTCAGGAAACTATACGCGAAATGATGAAAAAATAGTAGTTAAAATTATTTCTATTATTATTTATAATGCAAGATGTTATAAATAATATTATTAAATTCATTGATGTAAAAGAATTGAAATTGAATAATTTTATTGAAGAATATAACGAAAATGATATATTAATTAATTTTGTTAATGACTTTAGAAATAGCAAAATTGATTTTAACATGTTTTATAATTCTATTAATTATGCTGATTTATTTGAACAATCAGATTTAAAATTCTATTGTAAAAGAGTATATTCATATACTTTAAGATTTATTGCTAATTATGATAATAAGAATGCTATTCAGTTTTATGAAATTACATTGAGAAAAATGAATAATATTTACAAGAATAGTAATATTAATGTTGTTAATGTTTTTGAATGTATTAAATGTTTAATAATTTATATTACAGATAATATTGAAAAGTTTCATAAATATTCAAAATTTAGAAAAACTATTATTTGTAATTTAATTGGTAAATTGAATAATCATTTAACTAGTTATACAATAACTAATTTTGAATTGACTTATAATGATATATGATTTTGTAAAATAAAAAGTTTAGTTTTAAAAGTTTTATTTTATAATATAATATATATATTTACATGGATGAAGGATTAGAAAAGATGGTTAAAAAACTGAACAAGGTTTTAGAACAGAATAAGAATATTTTAGAAATCTTACAAGAAATGGAAAAGAAGAAACCGTTAACAAACAGTTATCAAAGTAAAGATGTAGATCGAACCAATGGTGAATATAAAAATAAAAGAAATATTTATTTAAACAAACTTAATAACAAAGAAATTAAAGAACCGAAGGCTTCAACTATGACATTTTATCAAATTGACTATGATGAAGATACAGGGGTTTATTCTTGATTAAAAACATGTTTCTCTGAAAATCCGTTTAAAGACATATTGGCATAACTAATATTATGAGTTCTCCAGATGATGAAGAAGAAACAGGATGCACAATGGTTTATCCTTGCAGTAAATGCGACGAAGCAAAGCCAAGAAAGGATTTTCACAAAATGTATGATAGAATTAAAATGGAAGATATATTTTACAAAACATGTAAGGAATGCAGAGACAAAGTAAAAGCAACAAAAGAGTTAAGGAAGGAACAGAAGAAACGAATACAACCCATGGAAATACATAGATTAAAGCCTTCGATACCATAGTTTTGCTATACTTATAACATGTAAGATCTTATATGTTGTAATTATAGTATAGGTTTCCCGTATAAGCCGTGGTGGTGCTTTCCTACATAGGCCTTTCCCATCCGCATTTTGCCATCCATATTTTACTGGGATTGTTTTCAAGATTTGGGTTAACGGTTTTAATTCTCCCTTTTCCATTGGTTAACCATTTTTCGGGGAGTGATAATTTATGTAGTATGGCGGTGGGAGAGCTTAGAAAATACGCAGTTAGAAGACACTTAAAGACATGATGGTAAATAGTAGTATGGAAAACTTACAGAGATGCAGTAGGTGCAGAAAACAGAAAGAACTAGGAGAGTTCAAGGATGGGAGAAAAGTATGTAATTATTGCCTTTCTACTGCTAAGACTTATCAACAAAATAATCCCGAGAAAATGGCGGAGAAATGTCATAAGTATTATGTCAATCATAGGGACGAGATTTTAGAACAGAAGAGAGAAAAACGACTTTGTGATCTTTGCAAAGTAGAAGTAGCTAAATCAGAATGGACGAAGCATTTAATCACTAGTCGGCACAAACGATATCAAATGATAGAAGCCGGGGAGAAGTTGGAAGCCGATCGTGGCGATTCGTGGTGGTGCGATGTCTGTCAAGTATTTTTAGCAAAGAAAACATCCAAGTGTAGCCATAATGGCTCGAAAAGGCATTGTGAATTAGCAAAGCTACAAGGAGTTGAGGAGTAAATGGGTTGATACATTTGTTTTGCGATGATTGTATCAATGCATTTGGGATATTTATTGGTTTAATGGGTGGGATTTTGCGCAGTATGGCGGGTGGAGTGGGGACAAAATGCGCAGTATGGCGACGGGAGAGCACATGTCTAACTCAAAGGCCCTCACATTTCTTGGCTGGAACTAGGACCCCAGAACGAATTATATGTTTTGCCTGGTTAGTGGAAAACAAAAGGACCCCAAAAAGCAAAACAAAAAAAAGGGGAGCTATTTCTGGGGAAGATTTAGGTTGTTTTTTGGGGTTCCTACTGCGGATGGACGAAATCCTGCACTACTTTCAAACATGGAAAACCACTGTTTGGTACTTGCTGAATCATCATTCCACGTTTGCTTGGGCGGTGCAGGATTTTGTCCATCCACAGGGTACCCAGACCTACAAACAAGTTGTTGGAGACGCAAGTTAAGTCGAGCTAGGTCCTTCAGTGGAGAGGTTAGAATGAGGGTACCAACTTTTTTCTGTAGACTATTTTAGTAGGGGAGCCGAAGCTGCCCCCAAAAAAGGGTAGAGAAGGGCACCTAGCTGGGGGACCTAGGAAAAGTACAGCTCCCCAGAAAACGGTAAAAGGGCACCGAATTAGCTGGGGGACCCAAGTTATTTCCGGCATCCAAGTGCCGAGCGCAACCCAAAAACGGCCTGTCCTGTCGAGAGCCTTGGCGCCGCACCTGCCAGCGGCCGACCGGCGGGTTCCACCGGTCGAAGTTGGAAGCCGGAAGTCTACGGAGCACAAAATTCTACCTCGAGTCTGTATAATCCTTTATAAATGGGGTCATGACCCCTTTCTTTTGGGTAATGACTCATGACCCTTGTTTTGTTAGGGTCAAGGAGGTTTGAGGCAGGCCTAGGAGCCCCTGCGACCTCATTATTTGAGGAAGCAAAGGGAGGTCAAAGGCTCCTAAGGAGGGGAAGCTTCCACGTGTCCATTCCTTCCAGGAATCCGAATCTTTTCAGGAAATCAAACATCCTCGGGGAAACGGCTGGTTTTGGTTGAACAGAATGAATCAAGCCGTAGACATGATGAAAGAGTTTCTCCAAAGACTCTGGTGGAAACGTGATCTCCGGTGAATCAAATCAGCTTTCTCCTGAATTTTGGTGGTTTGAAGGCCAGATGGGGGAATCCCCAAGCCACCAATTCAAACCGCGCTACCAGATAAGTCCAGGGAGTGCCCAACATCTGGAACCTGGAAGAAAAGTCGCCCCACACCCGGGATGGGCGAATCAACGCAAACATTTTTTTGTTAGCAGTTAAGTGGGGATTTCCCACAATACCACAATACCACAAATGTATAACCACAATAAGCACTTCATGTCGCACCACCCAAGAACCACTGGAATGAGCATTCCCCTGTAAATACCAACGAACAGTGGTTTGTCATGGCTTTTAAGTGGTGCAGGATTTCGTCCAGTATACACAGTAGGGAGAGAAACTACAATGGTTTACGTCGTTGACAACCCTTCAAAGCGTGCTCTATGGCAGTGCAAGGAGGTGGGCGAGCCGCGGCCGAGAAACCAACAAAGCCAAGCAAGCCACCAAGAGAGAGCGTAAAATCGGGGTATCTGACCTTAGGTTCGGGGGACTGAGAATGAGCTTAGTCTCACTTGCCCAAAGGACCCGAAAATCAAGGGCTAACCTTTTGAGGCCATGGACCAAAATGAGAAAACACACACACAAGGTCAGTCCAGGTCGATTCGCTTTGGGCAACCGAGGCTTCTCTCCGAGGGCACGGAGCTGAGAACACGCTTCAAAACTTCATTTGGGTATGGGTCAAAATTCAACCACCAATTGGACCGCAGGTTTTGGTCGTTTCCACTTAGGGCAACCCATTTGGGGTACCTATTTTTGACCCACAGCCATTTGACGATACCCTCCCACCCTGTTCACATGGAGCCCGACGTTCGGGGGTCCGTTTAAGAGCCAAAAAAGGGGTCCAAGCCAGGCTCCCCAAAACGTCAGGGTTCCATGTCAATGTCAATTGTTGAAAAGTCGTGTCAGTTTTGTGGATGGCGCCCCCTTGTTTGCGGGCTTAGCAGGGCTGCCAAAAGGAAACAACACCATCTGCGAAGCACTCGCAGGTGATACAACAAAAAGAGTCCTCCCAAAGACGTTCAACCCCCCCTCTGTTTTAAGGGAGGAATTCCCAAAGGTATCACAGAAGCGGTTCGGATAAACTGCTCGAGTGATCAACCACAACCCTGGTGTTCAACCAGCTTGGGATGAGGGAATCTTGTGCATGGGGTGGTCCAAGGTGGGGGTTCCCGAAGGCTCCCGAAGTTACTAAGGAACCCCAGAACACGAGGGAACCGTGTGAACAACCAAAGGCAGATATTTGGAATCGGACCATTTGCTTGGGCTCAGCCTCGAGTTCCAGTCGATGCCGGCCGGCTTGGGAGGTGTCTACAGAAACCCTCCCCCAAAACAAGAAGCGGCAAAAAGGGCACCTAGTTGAAGGACCTAGTCTATGAAAATAGGTGCGCCACTGAAATTGCTCCTGAAGTGCTGCGGAACATGAGAATCCACTTCTGTGGTACGACAGAAGGGGCTTTAAGACTAACCCCCCCAGAAATCTATGGGCTCATTCCCCATCTGTTTCAACCATCCTTCTTTTCCAAAACCGATCGCTGTGTTTCCTGGGGTTCTGATAGATTTCTAGAAATAATTTCGGATCCCTGGAAAGAATGGATGGAAGTGTCCCCTAGAAGAAAGGGCTTTAAGACGAACCCCCCATAAGGGGGAGATTTCCTTGCACGGGTGGGGAGAAACCCCTGCCACCCCTGGACTGCAGTGGAACTCAAATCCATTTTCCCTCCACAAGAACCAGGGACCCTTTCAAATCCCAAACCAATCCACCAACTACTAGGTCCTCCAGTAGAGAGGTTAGAATTAGGGTACCAACTTTTTCCGTAGTCTATTTTAGTAGGGAACCCTCCCCCCAAAAAGTTCGTCAAAGGGCACCTAGTTGGGGGACCTAGAGCTAGGTACCTGAACAATGGTGAAGCCTGGCGAAGCGAAACGAAGCCGAAGCGGCGGCGAAGCGGCGCCCGCCCGGCGGCGCCTGCTCTTGCGCCATCTGCGCCTCCCAGTGGTCCATGACCCTCCGCAAGCCTCGGGGCCTTGGAGGAAATAACATTCCACTTGGCTCCTTATGCCATGGGACCGGTGTTCAGAAGAACGAAACAAATCTAACTTACTGGTTTGCAGGAGAACAAACAAACGTGTGTGACTTAATGGTTTTCAGAAGAACCAAAAGAACATCTGCGACTCACTGTCTTTCAGAAGAAAAAACAAACATTCGTGATTTGTCGGGTTTTCAGGGACAAAAACCCATCTGCGACTTACTAAATGCATCCCCCCTTCACCCACACAAAAACAAGTAAAGATTGTAATTCGCCGAGTAAGGAATGTACATGGAATTCTTCGAGGCATTTTGTTTGGTATCAATTCAAATTTGAAGCTCTGGAGGTTTGCTTCAAGACCTCCGAGGTTTGACCCTTTGCTCGGCAACATCGACATACAATCAAACTATTGTGTTTGAAAGGAACTTGGTTTGGTTTGAAAGGAATTTGGTTTGGTTCAATGTTGCTTGTAAATTTGCGTCAACAGTACAATAAACCATTGAAGTCACAAGTTGACTTCGAATTGCTTTTGAGAGAGCCATCCAAAAGACCTCATATGACTGGAGTTGGGGTCGGCGGAACATCTGGAAGTTTAGAATTGGTTTAGTATTGCAATATCTAGTCCAGCATTGGGAAATTGTAACCATGTTTATGTTTATCAATGGAGTGAATCTAAAATTAGGGGAACGCCATAACGCACAAACAAAAAAATCACGTGGTATGTCCAGCCGTCCGACAACGTAAGGATGACACAAAGGTTCTAACCATCTCAAAAAGGACAGACCCCAAGTCGTTTGAAGATCCTTTTGCTATTCATTCCGTAGCTCGATCCAGTTGAAAGCAATTGAAGCAGTTGTTTATTCCAAGTGCAAGGACATCTCCGTCCATTTTTCAGGATGAACCGACGCTGGCCCCACGAGGTCTGTGTCGCTATGAGGAGTCTCCACATCCCACTTGTGCAAGTCCCGGGCGTTTGGTCTTCGCACTTTGAGACCATGGTTGATACTGTGGATGCTTTGCGAAATCCGCGAGACTCGCACCACTTTGACAGCAAAGGAAACCATAATGTTTGTGGGTATTTACAGGGCAATCGAATCATTCCAGGGTTTCTTAGGTGCAGGATTTCGTCCATCCACAGTATTTACGTTGGGAAATCGAAGCATTCTAGGGGATCTGAAGGGTGCATAATTTTTGTCCATCCACTGTATTTTTGGTCAAAGGGTGAAGGAATGACGACATAAATGAATCCTTGGTAAGAATCACAAGTCTATGAGATGCACCATTCTAGAGTCGTGGCTTCATGGGAAAGCCTTCATCACCAAACTCAGTCCGACCATTCAAGTGAAACAATCCATTTTCAGAATCCACTGGTAATTCCCAATGCAATTAAAAACTTAAAAACAGAGCCGACAAAAGTGATGTTCTAAAGTGGGAAGCCCGTATCTTTTAAGGAATGATGTGAAACTTCGTTGCTACTTGCAAGCGGGCATGAATGCCATCAAAACATGAGCTCTGTCAACCATCCACGTTAGGTGTGTGTGTGTGTGTGTGAGTTGAGAACTCCATTTGCTGGAAAGTCCCCTGGAACACATACATCCATTTTGCCAATCGTGATCGATTCCCTGGAAAATCAACAGGGAAACATCGACAACCATATATCCTTGCGCACATGAAAGCATGCGGCTTCAACTTCTTCCCTCACTTCATGGTCAAACTCACTTCCTCCATGGACATCATCGTTTTTTGGGGCTTCCCTCATTGATTTGCTTCTTCTTCTTCTTCTTCCATGGACATCACCTTTTTTGGGGCGGTCAATAAGGAAGCGGATCTTCCTTCTGGCTCACTGTGTTTTTGAGGACTCAAGCCTTTTCTGAAGGTGGCCATGACAGAACCAACGGGAACCGATGCTGTGGGCTCGTGTTTTTCTACGGCCAATGGGTCGGGACCTGCAGTAAAAAAAGAACGTAAGAGCCGGGTCCTTTGCCCTCCAACGCAACATTTTACGGCCAAGTATCGGGAAATGCAAAAAAAGGGGGCAAGGACCTATGACCCGACATCTGTTCAGGGCAATTGTCTGGACCCGAAAGAAAACCAAAAAAACAAACACTACCTGGAGTCTCTATGACCCTTAAAAAAGTGGTTAGTCATGAGTCATTACCCTAAAACTATGGGGTCCTGACCCCATTTTTTAAGGGTCAGAAGGAGACTCCAGGATAGATGATCAAGCATGTCAGAACTCGGTGGCTTTCTGCTCCCCTGCTAACAGTATAACTTTTAGTGGCTTAATGGAAACCCCCTCTTAGCTGGCAAAAAAATATTTAGTCCTAACATCCCTTGGCAAAATGCACCAAAGAGAAGCTTGGTCTCCCGAGAGATGTCCCCTTCTACGGCACCCCCTTGAAACGACAGTGGGAGTGGCCGGGGCCCGTCGGCCCGTTTTTCCGGCCTCTGTGGAAAGAGGCGGGCCTCCTGGAGGTGTCGCACCATGGCCTGGAATCGCTCTCTCTCCTAGGTCCAGCAGAGAGGTTAGAATCAGGGTACCCTTGTACATGATTAGAGTTAGGCCCAGTTATAGAATGTATATCTTATTGATTGCTTCACTTTGAGTCACTGGTAAGATGTAAAAATGCATCCTAAGTCTACCCCAGTGTCTATTTTCCTAGGGGAGCCGAACCTCCCAACCAAAAAAGACACGGGTTAAGAAGGGCACCACTGGGGCTACACCAAGTCTCGAGCCTCACGTCCTGAGATGAGCGAACCGTCTGAACAGGGCTGTGGTTGGAATCCACGAATCTGCGATACAACCGAAAGGGCCTAACCCCAAAGACGACTTTGTCCATATAAAAGGGGGAGATTTCCTTGTATCACAGTGGGGAGAAACTCCTTGATCCCACAACCCTGAAGTAGAAAGTTCAGGAACTCAGGAAGTGAGGAAGACCTCCGCCTAATTTGCTGGTGCACTAAAACGTGGATTCCCACAAAGCTTCAACAGAAGCCCAGCGGGAACAGTGAGTTCAAAATGCGCTGAGTTCCAGGTGCTCCAATTAACTTTGTACTGGTGCACCACCAAACAAAATCGCCACCTAGTCTCCCTGACCCTTAAATCATGGGGTCATGACCCCTTTCTTCTCCATTTTTAGGGTCATGGAGACTCCAGGCAGATTCGTGAGGAAAAGACGGTAGGGCTCGACCAAAGGAAAACCAACTGGCCGAAGGCTAGCAAGGGCAGATAAGACTGAAACCTCAAAAGAGGCGAACAGGGCAAAACCGTTGTTGAAGTCCCGTAGTGAAGAGTTCGGCGACCAAGTTAGTTCCCCTGGATTAATTACAGGGACCCCCAGGGCCCCTACCCCCACAAAACACACAGGAGTTTCCTTTTTGACGGATCCCTTGTTCAAACTCATGTGCTGCTCCCTCACTCAATGGAAGCTGAAAAAACAAGGCACGCCTATCCACAGCCGAATCTCACCGAACACACAAGAGAAAAGAAAGGGATGAACGGATTGGGCTCCAGCGCGAATCTACCTGTCTCCATGACCCTTTAAAAAATGGGGCCATTGCCCAAAAAAAAGATTCGGGTCATGACCCCATGTTTGAAGGGTCATGGAGAGTCTAGGTGCTTGTCCAGGGCCATGGAATAATTAAATGCGAGAGATCCAAGGCCCCCGGATTTCCCGGTAATCCCGGCGCTTTCCCCCCCGCCGTGTTGATCACCAAGAAGGCGTTGATTCGTCAAACTCGAGGGATCCTGCTGAATCCCGTTTTGCGTGAGATACCGATAAGGAAAACCAACGATTTCCGTCATAAGGACGAATTTGGAGGCAGCGGCATGACCAGCTGAACCTTGCGAAACGAGCTGAACAAGTAGCTTTTGCCCGCTCCAAGGTACAAGTAGCTTTTGCCCGTTCCCCGATTGCGAGCACAGCCTCGGAACCACAAAGACTCACTGCCTGGTATTCCAGCCCATGAGGTACCCACGAATTCCGATGAACAAATTGGGTCCAAGGACCCCCTACTCCGAATGCCCACCTTTTCTAGCGGATTTTGTGATAAGCCGGGGTTTCCGTGGTAAATATTTTATTTTTTAGTGGAGGGTCGACATCATACCCTAAAAAAAGATGGTATTTGGAGTAGGGGGGGAAAACCAACAGCCACTCCAAAGCGCGACCCGCAAGTGTGTCAGTGTGTAACTTTCGAGGCTCTGAGTCTCAGAACTTTGCCCAGAACTGCTCCGGATTTTGGTGATCAATCAGACCTGCAAGAGGGGCTACCTTTCCCAAGGGACAATACCAAGCCTCCCTTCCTGAGTGGATTGATTCTTTTTATGTTCCACTAGAATGGTCCAAACCCAAAAAGTGACTCAAGTGGTAACCGGAACTCAGGAAGTGAGACGTATTTCTCCAACGCAAGCTTCGGGGCCAAGAACTTAAGCAATCCCTCTCACTTTGCCGTGACAGACCTGCTTCTTGGGCCGAAAGCGATCGAGAAGGCCTCCGCTTTTTGGTCACAGTTCACAGCTTTCTCGCAGCCCGGGATGGTCTCCCTTTTGGGAAACAATCTGGGAGCTTCGTCCGCCTCCGGAAAAAGGTCGCTGAGTGGCTCAAGTGGGACCGGCCCCCGAAAAAAACACACAAATTGCACAAGGACCATGTGGGTATCCCGTTTTGCCTCAGTACGTGATTTTGCGGATGGCTTCTAACACGCACTTCCTAAGTGGATTGGCCGAAAACACAACCCAACTTCTTCCTTGCCGCTAAAATGGTCTTCCCAAAAAGCTTAAAGTCCATAAACTCAGGAAGTGAGAACAAGTGGGCTCCTTTTGGATGTGACGCACACTTGTCGTTTGCGATCGGAAGCTGGTGATTGAACCCGTTGAGTCACTCGCTCGCTGGATCGGCTCGCTTGAAGCGTGAGCGCACGCCGGACCCCCTGCAAGGAGTGGGGAGGTCCTTTCTTGAAGCCAAATATCAAGGGATTTGTTGAGGTATGGGGTATGGAGTTTCTTGTTTAATCTCGCTTGGGGTATATGCTGCATTACAAGTTTATATTGGTGTCATACAAGCATCCATAACTCCAAACACCACATATATATATATAATATACACTTGTTAACGCCCTTGAACATCAGGCCAAATAAGCAAGGCCAGGCAACATATGCTTGAAGAAGGGTCCCCTTGACCCATTGAAAGGGAAACCCGAAGCAGCTTCTTCAAACGCTAGTGGTTTAAACAATGTTTTAGCCAAGGGGTGGGGCCAAGTTGCTAATAATAGGCCCCAAACAAATCCAATCTTTCTGTTTGCCTCAACACTTGCCTTGTCTAAACGGTGGATTGGTCACACCGAAACACCACCAATGAACAGTAGAGGCTCGGCTCGGGACAACTTGGTTGACGCTGGAAGGGGAGCCAACATTTATTTCTTAGCAGTTCAGTGGTTGGATTTCAACCACTGATTAACGCCTCGTGATGACTGTGAGCCAGTAATTAATCGCCGATGATCGAACGTCTTGAAGGTCTTGGGGACACAATAAGCAAGAATGCAATTTTTTGACACACACACAACATGGCATAGTCCTCTACACCTTCCTTGGCCTGCACGTCTTAGCCAATTTCTGGCTGACCTTGCCCCTGCCAAATTAAACCATTACAATGAAGCAAGAATGTAAAATGTTTCCCAACAACAAGCATGAACAGGGCCTTGGAGGATAGGTAGGGTCTCTACGCAGCCTCCTCCTTCAGCCGTGCCACTTTGGACTTGATAAAGTCCCTGGCAGCCTCTGGATTGTCCAACCGCGCCATACTGATGCCCACGGTCTTGTTCGACTTGCCTAGCCAGCGAGCGCGAGCTCTGTGACCTCCACTTCTTCAAATCCCTGGGGGGAAAAAATCAAAACGTGTCCAGCGGTAGATCCCGTTTAGAACCAACAGGGGAAAGCTTCAAAAACAGATCTTGAGCAAATGGAGGTTGACTGGGTGTGTCTTTTTGAGGCTACCTTTCTTGCTGAATTCACGCAGGTCCCTAATTTTGAGACAAAGCTACATGTATACCCATCCCTTTTGAGACTAGCTGCCGGTGGATTGCTCTGAGCCAGAAGATCATGTTGACGCTTGGTCCATGAAGTCCCCCGAAGAAACGAATAATTAAAAACAATATCCAGAAGTGATAGATTCCCTACAAAGCCAACAGGAGAAAATTAGAAAGCAAAAAACAACAACAGCCAATGGCAGGTTTGCTTGGTTGACGTTGGAAGGGGAGCAACAATTTGAATTTCAGCAGTTAAGTGCGGATTACCCACTAAACCACAGTAAGCAAAAATGTAACATATGTCCCAACAACAACCATGTTCGGTTCATGTTTGGTACACTTTGGAGTTGGACTTTGATTTTCCTTCGAAATCCCAGGCCAAATCCAAATGTTGTTTTTCGGTGCTGCCAACGACCAGCCATTTAACCCACTCAATTCAGCAGCCAGAACCCAATTGATGTTTGCTGCAAATACCAAAACGGTTCTGAAGGTTTCTACAGGCTTCTGAAATGGCCAACGCGTTCGTGGAGCATAATTGATGGTAGTCGGTTAGGTATCTGGGGTGGTCTGAAACGGAAAGGCAAGGGAAACGCCGCCTACTTGTCTGACGGGAGAGAGATTCAAATCCAATTTGAAGACGCACCTGTTTTCGACAGAGGCAAGCCGCAACAAGCATACGTCGAAAAGCGGCTGACTATTTAGTTCCTCCAAGGCATTTCTTTGGGTGATGTTTCCACTGGCATACAAGCCTTTAAAGTACCCTTTGGATGGGTCAAACTAGGGGACCCGCAAAATGGAGACTGGGAAACCCTCAAAACAACGCACACACCCTCAAACAAGGGCGTCCATTTCTAGAAGGTGGGTTGATTCTCCAACCGGGAACCCCTGCATCATTCTCAGGCGCAGCTTTGAACAATCTGCCAGGACTCGTTCCCAAGAGGCCGAAGACAGCTGGGTGGCGGACCTTGGGACCTACGGCAAGGCCTCCGAATCCGTCCCCAGGCCACCTACGGCAACCCACAGGCCCACAGGTCACGAGAAGTCATCTTGCCATCGGCCACCCTGGCCACCCTGCCAAAAAAAAACAGGAGTGACTCATCGAATCCCCTGCTAACCAAACACATATTGGCTACCCCTAGAGAAAATGAAAACAAAACAAAACAGTGACGAATGGATTCCCCCTTTGAACCAGGGACTGGAAGCCATGGCCAGCTTCATGGCTGTGGCTCACTGAAATAATAAAAAACCGATCGGCAAAATGGTCCCAGCCCAGAACCATGCTTCACGAATTCAAAAGGCGGACTTCTGCACCCATATATGGCAAGGGGAGTGTCCCTTACCCTCCAAATATCAGCTTCCCTCTAACCGGTTTGGTTTGGTGGCCTGGACTTTGAGGGGTGCCAAACTTCATTTGGTTTGTAAAAATGCTGCAGTTCAACTCCAAATCCAAACCACCAACTAAGGGT